GGGGGGAGGTGGGGGAGCAAATGTTTCGAGAATTTGCACTGGGAGTTCCTAGGAAAGCAGTCCTGGATCATGAACTCTGGGACAATTTGTTTGACACTCATGGAAACTTCCTTGCACCCTCAGCCCACAGTGCTCACCTCCCTCCAATCCTAACTACACAGTCCAGCAGGAGCTAACCAGACAGGGCTGTGACTCATCCAAGGACCAGAGCTAGGTGTGTGTGTGTGTGTGTGTGTGTGTGTGCATCCCCGTCCCCGTGCCTCGAGGTCATGCTTCACGTCTCGTGGGCGGTGGCTGGCACCCTTGTTACTTTTCTGTGAGTGTTAAGCCTTGTCTCACCCGAGGCCGGGACCCACCCACTCCTCTCTGTCACCCATGCAACCCTCACAGCGCCAGTCTGGCACAGAGGCTGCACTCCAGAAAGAGGCTTCTGCGTCCCTGGCAACGGAGTCCTCGAGGAAGTGGGGAGGAGGCGAGGATAAGCCCGTGACATCGGATTCGGTTTCTTACCCCCACGGGCAGACCCGATCTCCTCACAGCTTTACAGGAGGGAAGGGACTTTATCCCCCACTCCCACCCCCAGGCTTCTGTCATGGGATGAGCAGCCCTAATGTTGAGACAGAGCCTAGAAATGAGACTCCCTCTGACTCAAAGCAACTCCACGCTTCCCACCCATCTCAGGACAGGCAACTAAAAGGCAGGTTGGGGCAAGTGGGTCTGCGTGCTCTTTAAGAATCTATCCTTCCACTTTTACAGAAAACCAGCCTGTCAAGCTTGGGGAAACGGGCCTACCTTCTGTCCCACGAAACCCCAGTGTCACCCAAGGAAAGGTGTAGCCACAATCCTCGCAGAGAAGCGCCCCTCCCTCCGCCCCCGTCCCTCTCCTCCTGGGGAGGGGCGAGCGGATGGCTACAATTCTCTGAGCTGGTCCAATGGGGAGACCCCAACCGGCGCCCCGGAATCGAGACCGGGGGACGGAAGATGGGGTGCAACCTGCCAGCCTCCCACGAGAGCCCTCACCGCCCCCCCCCCACCCAGCACCCCGGGGGCATCCAGACAGGGCTAACACCCCAACACCGCCATCTGAGAGGTGTCCCAAATAATTTAAGCAAAAGGAAATTGAGGCGATTCCTTTCCACAAAGGGCTGCATAAACCAGAGCTTTTAGCCACAAGACAGTGTCTCTTGCATTCACACTCCAGTGAGCTTTCTTGAGCGAAAGGGAGAAACTAAAGAGAATCAGAGCCAGTGATCTGGGTGTGGCTCACAGCCATAGGGTTTCTCCAGGGACGCCGGGGACACTTGGGTGCCATCTGACAGCTTGACAGCTGGCACATATGTCTAGAGACGGGCCCGCTCAGTCACTGTTCGCAGACGGCCCACTGATGGGGCACCGCCTCTGGGCCAGCTGTTCCCACCACATTGCTTGTAACCCTTACCTCCATCTCACAAGGAGAGTAGTTGGGTTGGCCCCATTTTACAGATGAGCAAACTGAGGCTCAAGGAGGATACGCAGCCTGCCTCGCAATAGGGCCAGCATGAAGCCAAGTGTGGAGTCCCCTTGAACACCCAGGCTTCGTGCCCATGAAGCGGGTCCTGCCAGCCGCGGGACGTCCGTGTGGACCCGAGCCCCCAGGCTTCCGAGAGCCCTTCCACTGAGCCTCCCCCGCCCTCTGAGGTGCAGTGGCCGGGTACCTGGAGTAGCAGGAGAGGCCGGTGCTGATGATGGTGTTCAGCACGGCCAGGGGCACGTAGTAGTCATGGAAGGTGGTGTTCACCATCACGTTGGGGATCGAATAGGCAGAGTAAGCGATGGCTGAGCCTGGGGAAGAAAAACCAGCTTTGGGCGGGAAGCCAGGACGCAGCACAGTCTGGACTCCTCGGGAAGACCAACCCCAGCATCTGGCTGAGCCCTCATTATCCCCAGGGACCGTGAGCGTCCTGCCGTCATACCTTGCCTGCGCCACTGCCCCTCCCAGAACGTCCTCCCTCTCCTCCCTGCCTACCCCAATCCTAACCTGAGAACTTACTATGAGCCCAGCCTGCCCCCCCCACCCCGGGGCTTTACACACGTTGACTCGCAGAAGGTTTACCATCACCCTGTGACATAAATCCTGCATTCATCCTCATGTACAGATGATGAGACGGAGGCACAGAAAGGTCTAGCAACCCACCTGGGGGGCACCCAGCTAGAAAGCGGCAAAGCCAAGCTTCAGCCTGAGGCAGCTCAGTGAAAGCCCCCACTGTTAACCACATGCGGTGGCCCACGAGGACCCCTCCACGTGCTCAGATTTGCTCTGAGTGTGCACATCTCACCTGCCGATGACGCGGGGTGCCCCCGTGGGAAGGTGGATGTGGCAGGGAGGGAGGGCCCTTGCCGAGGCGAGGCATATCGTGCCAGTGCGCTGGGGGACTGGCCAGCTCACGGGCGGGTATGAGAGGCTAAGCTTGGTGTTCTGTTGCCTTAGGTCTGGGAGTCTGTGATGGAGGGGTTACCAAGGGCCCTTGAGAGACCTGTCTGCTGCAGCTTTTACTTGAAAGAACAGGGGAGATCGCTGTCCTTTTCAAAGGGGCCAGGTGTGTCCATGGGCCTGGCCCAGAAGCCCTCTCCAGCCACCCTTACCAGGTCTCCTCTGGGAGGGGAGAAGACAGTCCTGGACCTGTCAGCCCAGGGCCTCAGGGGTCAGCGCTAAGCTCACCTGTTATTCCAAAGATCTAGAGAACGGTGAAATCCCGGCTCAAGGCTGAAGCAGGCCTGGGCCACACAGGTTCACCTCTGCCTCTGACCCCATTTAACAGATGGGAGTCTGATAAAGCCAAGGGGTGTTCCCACTCGGGGAAAAGAGCCAAGATGGGATTTCAGCTGGGAACTGACTCCCGGGGCACAAACTCTTCCTCGCCTGATACACCCGGGGGCTCCATCTGGACCAGATGCACTTGCTCGGCGGGGGGCCAAGGTGCATGCAAGCTCCGTGGGTGGGACAAGAGCAGGGGGACCTCAGACCCTGCCCCCAACCACGGGGGGGAAACGAAATGACTTCCAATAAGAAATACATGTTTGGTCTCCTCCACTGTTCCTGGCACAGAGCTCCTAAAACCCCTGGAATTTCCTAAGCGAGGACCGCCGCAAAGGTGTCTCTCGTTCTGTTAATGAGATGACTTTGGAAAGCCCCTTCAGGATGGGACCTGGATTTCTGGAGACCAACCCTGTCGCTAGAGGGTTGGAAGCCTCAGGCCCGCACCCCCGACGCCCAGGAGGGGAGAGGGGCTGGAGGTGAAATCAACGGTAACTAATGAAGTCTCCATAAAAACCCAAAGGGAGAGGTTCGGCGAGCTTCCGGGTGGGTGAACACGTGGAGATTCAGGGAGAGGGGCGTGCTCGGTGGGTGTAGAAGCTCCAGGCCCCTCCCCAGGCCCTACCCTGGGCGTCTCTTCTATGCAGCCGTCCCTGAGTTATAGTCTTTTATAACAGACCGGTAATCCAGTGCGTAAAGTGTTTCTCTGAGTTCTGTGAGCCGGGGTCACTGAAGCCTTGGGTCTATAGCCAGTCTGTCAAAGGCACAGGTAACAACCTGGGCTTGAGACAGGTGTCTGAAGGGGGCGGAGGGAGGGGGTGGTCAGTCTTATGGGACTGAGCCCTTAACCTGTGGGAACGGTATCAGAAATGAGTTGAACTGTAGGACGCCCAGCTGGCATCCGAGGATTGCTTGGTGCAATTCTCCAAGCACCCCTCCACGCATACACACATTGTAAATGGTGCTCAGACCCCTTTAGAGGGCTTTCCAGGGAGCAGGAGTAGAGGCAGCTTTGGATTCCAGGCTAAGGAAAGGAAACATCCTCTTTGGGGCAATAGGGAGCCACGGAAGGTTTCCGAGCGAGGGATTGAGATGGCCAAAACCTAGTGAAAGTGCACAGGATGACCTAGAGGGAGGAACAGCTGGAAACCAGGGACGAAGTGGGAGCAAATGCCATCCGGGGGGGTGGGTACTGAGGGTTTCCACACGGGCAGGAGGGGCGGCTGCAGACAAAGGGGCGGGGAGGCCGAGGT